ATAGTCAACAGCAAGAATAGATAGGACAGTGTTTGCAGTGACAAGTGGAGGTTCTTTCATTGGATCCACCGTACTGACAAAAATATCCACTGCCGACAATTGAGATTGTTCTGTATCTTGATCGTACCTGATACAGTAAAAAATCTGGTATTAGTACAGACAAATTGAAACCAGGATCAATAGATTAAAAAAAATTACTAGAATGAGATTATATATTCACCTCAAGGAGAGTCTGTCAAGATATGTCTCACGATTAATTGGAAACCATTTGGGGAATTGATCCAAAATCCATGAAATAGCAAACCAAATCTCACAAATTACTGAGATAAGCCACAATGAATATGCATTTTGAACAGGGTTTGTTACACGATATTGGAGGAAGATGCAAATGACGACGAGTCGGATAACTATAACCATTCTGTATGGATTTATCTTTGATGATGGTATTGATATCTTCCGCGAAAGTGGTTGTCGGGTTTCGTCATTCCTGATTAATAAAAAAATATTTCTTAATCTCACCATTAATTACAAAATTCAAAAGGTTGAGAGATTGATACACTCACAGCAATGATTCATCCATATACTCAGTGGTCGCATCAATTTCTAGACCACATCTAGCTTCCGAAGGAGCTATACTTGTCCCATTTGTCATAGTATGAACAGGAGCCTTCTCTTGCTTCATCTTCCATCCATCAACTCTTTCTTTCCAAGCTACATTTCCATATCCAATTGGCAACTCCTTCGACTGATTACCACCACCACCGATGAAAAATTCTCTTGAATGATTAGAAAACTCCCTCGACTGATTACCACCGCCGATAGAAAACTCCCTTGATTGATTACCACCACCAATTGAAAATTCTCTGGATTGATTACCACCGCCAATTGAAAACTCTCTGGATTGAGTGGCAGCTTCAGAATTTCATACCCAAGTGTTAAAAAATATAATGATTAAAATTCCAATCTTATTTTAATTTAAGGTTTGGATTCTGGAGAAAAAATAAAAAATTACAGTTTGAATATGCAACTGGATGCACTCGTTTTCCCGTTATTCCAATGCCTGGAGACATCATGTGATGTTGATCCATTGACGCCACTGAAAATTCTTCGGATGTCTGCGACAAATCAAACCTCAAAATAAATAATAAATAATAAAATATATATATATTGTTTTAAGCATTAAAAAGGAAGTATCAAAAAATTTTACCGCAAGACTGTGAGGGAGCAAAGGAATATGATTCCGAAAAAACTCCCCACTTAAACCAGTGCTGTATTTAACATTCCACGGTTTCTGATCTTGAGAACCTGATGCATACTCATAACCATTAACATTCTCAGAATATCGATCGTGACCTGGATCTCCTCGGACAAGCGGACTCCCTAAAGATTTTAAAAACATGTATATATCAAAACTTGCACAGTGCAGAGAAAAAAAATCAAGGTTTTAATTGTGTTTTTCAAAATAACTTAAACCTTGGTGCCTCTTGTACTTGCTTTTGCATTGTGGGCAGCATTGATGTCCATCCTTCCTCTCATACTCGTAACAAGGTCGGCAGACTGGAAATCCGCATATATCACAGGCCACGAAAATGTCTCCATCTATCGTCTTCCCCACACCATCACCACATATCTGGCACACCTGGTCACCTTGATTCTTCAATAATTCCTTAACAGCCAACAAAAAAGCAACATTTTTTTTTCAAAATCCATTTAGTTCAAATCATCAGATAAGGAATCGTAGAAGAAGAAAGAAAATAAGATCTTTACGACAACAGATCAATGAATCAAGTGGGGGGGGGGGAGGGAGTGTAGAAAAGAAGAAAAAAATGAAAACTTTTTAGATACGCAATCAAAGAAACCGCTCACAACTGTTTGGAAAATATAATAACTTGGAAGATTTGGCGAAAACCCAAAGATTAGATGAAGAAGAAATGAAGTAAAAAAACAAAAAATTACAATCAAAATGATCGCATTTAATAAGGGTTTTAAAAAAGATTAATTTTTTTTACCCCCGTAACTCCTTCTGCTCCTCCTCCTTCCATCCTACTAAGCTTGGAAACTTGGATGAAGCAAATGAAGGAGATTTGTATATACCTATCTATCTATCTTATCCACCACCGGCACGGCGAGCACATCACTTTCCAGTCTAATCTCTTTCTCTGTATTCCACAGTGTGTATATTAAATTTGAAAAGAGAGGAAAAAAGAAAGAGGGTAAAAGCTGTAAGCCTGCAAGGCTGTAGCTTTAAGCTTCCTGTAATGTGGTGGGTGGATTGATTAAGTAAAGTTTTAAGAGATGTCAGAAATCAGAAGAGCACATGAAATCTGATGACGTATATTGTTTTTCTTTTGGTAAAAAATGGTTCCTTGTTTCATAATTATAGTTTAAATCAGTTAATAACTTACCTTACTTCTGGATATCATTTGCAACTGACAATTTTCTATGTGTTTTTACGACAAGTTCACTTCATGTAATCATGTCTTTTTCAGATCTGACCCTACGGATAAGTCGACCTTTTCTTTTCATTTAATACAATGTTTTCCACCATATAAAAAGTTCAAATCCAAGTTTTTTCATCTAATTTTTTCATCCAATGTCGGATTCAGGTAACACCCGAATCAAACCATTCTCACCCAAAACCTGAATTTTTTTAAAAACATTAAAATATAAATAAAATTTTATTTTATATAAAACATATTATAAAAATTTAATATATACAATTAATAAATTTTCTTTTTTTCTTTCTAAAATCTAAATTAAACCTTAATATTATTATTATTTACTTCTTATCTTCTATTTTCATCTTTTCTCTCTCATCTTGTCGTCGTAATCGGATCCATTTGAGTATTTGACTAAAAATTATTTAATATTTTAAAATTATTTGATTAAATTATTTAAATAACAGGATTTTTTATACAAAATTTTAGAAAAAATTAGCAAATCCGAACCCGACCAAACCCGACATCCAAATCGGATTTGGATTTTATAATTTTAGATGTTTCTGGATTTTGACCCGAACTCGAGACCCCCGATCCATGCTCACTACTTTTAGACCTAGGAATAATAATCCAAAGGTAGATCTTTCTACCATTAGAGGTGGGCGTGGGTCGGGTCAAATCCAAACCCAAACATGTCGGGTTCGGTTGGATATTTTCGATTATGAAATCCCAATATGAAAGTCTCGAGTTTTATCACTCAATTTTTTCGGGTCAGGACTCACCCGAAATCCGAAGAAATTTATAAAATAAATCTTAAAATATAAATATTTTTATATATATATAAAACATTTTATAAAAATTTAATATACATATTTAATAAATTTTCCCTCTTTTTTTTTAAAATCTAAAATATAATATTGTTATCATTTCCCTCTTCTATTTTCATCTTCCCTCTCCTCTCCTCTCCTCTCTTCACATTTAAGTCTTTGACTAAAAATTATTTAATGTGTTTATCTTTTTAAGATTTTAAAAATTATTTAAATAATAGGGTTTTTATGCAAAAAAATTAAATAAATTATCAAACCCGACATTCAAATCGAGATGAGGTTTTATAATTTTAGAAGTTGTTGGAGTTCATTGTGTGAGTGTTCTTCCAATTGTGAGAGTTGGGTGAACGGGAGAGGAGTGAGGTGAGGATGTGAGAATGTGAGAATGTAAGAATGATGATATCCTAGAGTGTAATTGGGGAAGGGTTTTTATAGTCACCTCGGTCTTCCCCCGACCCGACAGTTGTCCGACCAGGTGTCTTGGTTACTGATGGTGTGTGGGCTCGCGCTAAGGTGCTCACACACACAACTCTATAGTATTCTTGTTCTAGGTAACCGATCCCCTCCCTGCTGCACTATAGGAGGTATTTATAACTCCTGCTTTAGGGTCTAACGGGCCTAGCAGGCCTGTTTGGTTCAGGGTCCGACTTGACGGGCCCTGGTACTAATAGTAACTTCAACACCTGGTTAGTTAGGCGTCGTCCATCGATTGGGTGGTGGCTGTTATAAATGGTGTTTTATCCCTCAACAGAAGTTTCTGGGTTTTGACCCGAACCCGATTTCAAAACTCGAGTTCATGTTCGAGTCAAGGCAAACCCAAACCGAACCCGACCCATGCCCATTCATAGTACCCACCGTTATAAAAAAAAAAAGTTTATCTTTTCACTTAACCAGATATTTGATGTTGGACGGACCGTTCTCGAACCATTACCTTACTTCCTACTGAGGTGGATCCGACTTCCGAGTTTTTTAGTCCCTTCTCATTAAGGGCCCGTCTCATGTAATTAATCCAGGAGATAAATCATAATATATACACGCTTCAGTAACTTCATACGATAACCCCCAACAAACTCTCAGGATCCAGAAGGCTAATAGACGATTGACTTGCCTTTGGTGTCGAACTCCAAATGGTTGGCCCGAAACATGGATGAAGCTATAGTGTAGCGAGGGGTAGCAGTCGTTACCCCTAAATTTTGGAATTTTTTCATGGGTATATGTGTAATTAAAATAAATATAGGGTTAAAAATATAAATTTTACATATTTTTAATATAATTTTATTTATATTTTTTTCCTATATATTTTTTTTCAATCCCAATCCCAATCCTCAAAATCTTCATGACCAGGTGTAAAATTTTAAGTTATGGAAAAAACGTTAATTTAAAATTATGAAAAATTATTTATCGATGTATGTTTTGGACTATTAAACTTTGTATTTGTTGAAATAAATGTCGATGTATTTTATATTTTGTTACACTATTTATCTAAATGAAAAGGTTTTCTTTTACATTTATTGTATTTTTAAATACAACATGATAATTTTTTTGAAAAATTTAATTAAAGACCCAAAAATTTTTGCCTCCGATGAAAAAACTCTGTTGCCCTCCAAACAAACGCCGAGCCCGAGCCCAATGTTCAAGCTCGTTCAGCTTAACGAGCCAAGCCGAGCTCGTTAAGCTCGATGGGCCGGTTAGGAGTATAAAAATATATAAAAAAAATATTATATTTAAAGAGAATGGGGATGTAGCAAAGATGGTAAAATGTTTATTTAGCATGCGAGAGGTCTCGGGATCGATTCCCTATGTCTTCGAATTATTTGTTTTAACCTGCAGGTTAAGTTCGAGCCCGGGCTCGCGAGCTACGAGCCCGAGCTTGACCAAAACCTGGAAAAATTCCTAATGAGCCGAGTCTGGGCCTGACTCTATAAGCAAAAGCTCGGATCGGCTCGTTTGACACCCTAACCGGAATGGCTTGAAAAGCATGATTACGAAGAACTTGAAATAAAGCGTGATTACTGTTGGTATCACGGACCGAACCGTCCGCCTCCGGGTCCAACCGCATGGAAGGACCGGACCCGGGAAAGCCCAAGAAGCCTTTAGGCCTCCTGGGCTAACACTATAAGGGTTGACAGTTGAGAGAAGGAATTCTAAGAGTTGTGTGTGTGCATCCATTGTGAATCCACACACCAATTACGAAAGACCAAAACTCTCATCTTGACTTTTCGTCTTGGCATTTCGAGCTAATACGACTGATGTATGTATGTGTTGGTACCACCCGCGGTCCATGGACCGAACGAGCGGCCTTCGAGGCCCAGACGCACGAATGGGCCCGAACGCGCAGGTGGGCCGGCTGGCCCATGAGGCCCAAGATCAATCATGGGATACTATAAATACCTCCCTTGATCCATCAGGGGAGGGGGTTGACAATCGGAGGAGTAGCACTTGTAATAGGTTAGGTCGACGAGCTTGGTCCGGCGAGCTCGCACACCAACAGTGATGAACCTGACGTGAACCAACACAACAGCCAGGGAGAAGGAGGAGGATGACGAGGAGAAGTGAATACCACGTAGGGGAAAACTCGAGGCGACGCGAGCGGGAGGCGCTGGAGTACCGACCGACACCGCACCACCCACGGGACCGGTACTCGGAGGAGATAAGAGCCAACGAAGAGTGGGACGCTCAGGAGGAAAGGTTACGCATGGAGCTGGAGGAAGTAAGGTACGGGTGGGAGTCGCCCAGGAGGAGCAGACGAAGCGGGCCCACACCCCCGCCCAATGAGTGGAGGTCGAGTCGGTCACGGTCTCGGGAGAGAAGGGAGAGCAGGGCGAAGGAGAAACAACACGAGAGATTCGTTAGAGGGAGCGCGCAGAGGAGAAGGAGCGCGCGGAAAGGGAGAGCAAGCGAGAGAGGGTGCAACTCGTGGAACTGATATCCACTCTACAAGAGAGCCAGCGCCAGCTGCAGGAGCAGGTGCAGGTCCACCAACTCACGGTGCCCCCCCACACCCTGGAGTCAGACGGGGGCGGAGGCGATGACCCGATGTACGGGCCGGTCCCTCCAGTCGGGGGGCCCGGGAGCGATGCTCGCCCCGCGGAAGGTCCCGGAGGTAGTACGACCTTAGCGGTAGGCGGAGCAGGGGGAGAGGCCCTGGCACAGCACCTGCTGGATGAGGAGTACCCCTCGGGCTGGAGGAAGATCCCGTATTGCAAGGGGGACACCGACCCGGAGGATCACCTTCACTCGTTCAAGACCAACATGGAGGACAGGATGAGCAGAAAGGTTATCTGGTGCCGGATGTTCCACAGAGCCCTCACGGGCGACGCGATAGCATGGTACAGGACGCTGCCTGCAGGATCCGTGCATACCTACGAAGGCCTGGTAACGGTGTTCCGGGCGGCTTTCTCACACCGACGTAGAAGGCCCAAAATCAAAGCCACCCTCAGCGGCATCACACAGGGAGAGTTTGAGAGCACACACGCGTATATGAACCGGTTCGCGGGCAAGGTGCAGAAGATCAAAGGGATTTCGGAAGAGGTGGTTTTGTACGCCCTCACTTTCTTCGCAGGGGACCTGGTACGAAAGCCGCCAAGCACTTTCGCCGAAGCCATGGAAAGGTTCCACGGAGAGTGCAACGTGGAAGACTACCTGGGGGCAAAGATCTAGGAGTACAAGCGGCAGCAGAGGGGGAAAGGCACCCTCGCAGGCGCAGGGGGCAGCAGCAACACCAACATCAGCAGCCGCAGACCAAGCCCCCGATCGCCCCGCAGGCGGCGGCGTGCAGGACAGGCGTCCCCGCAGGAGGGGGGCGAAGGGAAGTAGGGCCAGCCCCGGCGGCAAACCAAAGGCAAGTTTTCCTTACGCTGAGCGGAACGGGAACCCTACCCCTGCCAAGGCCGATGAGGAAGGACACGGCAGCGTTCAGGGACACTCGTCGGTTTTGCGAATATCATGAGGACAACGGCCACACGACAACCGAGTGTCTGAAACTAGCGAAGGTACTGGAGAAAATGACGCCCGCAACCGGAGCCCCCCCCCCGCCCCACCAGCGAGACGGCCGGCGGTCATACCCACGGTGCACCAAGCGCCGAAGCAAGAGCCAGCGGACGAAACGGTAGGGGATATCCTCACCATCACAGGAGGGGGCGCCTCCCGGGGGGACGACTCGTGGGAAGGGCGTCGATATACTTCAGATGTGGACCGGACGACGGGGAAAAAACGCCCGCAAACGAAGATGGAAATCTCGTTCACAGAGGAAGATATGAAGGACGTCACTACGCCCCACGACGATCCGTTAGTCATAACCCCCATCTTCCGATGGGGGGATAAATCCAACGTACGCCTCTACAAGGTTCTGGTAGATATAGGGGCGTTCATAGACGTACTGTACTGGAACGCTTTCGTTGACCTCGGCTTGTCCAGCACGGATCTGCTCCCAAGCCGGGGGCCATCAGAGGCTTCAGACAGGCGGAAGTCCTGGTAGCAGGGACGATATCCATCCCGATCACCTTGAGCCGGCATGCCCAAGCGAAGAAGGTCGAAGTCACGTTCACCGTGGTAAACTTCACGTCCGGATATAACGCCATCCTAGGGAGAGCGGCGCTACACGCGTTCCAGGCGGTGATGTCTTCGCTCCACCAGTGCCTCAAATTCCCGACCGAAGAGGGAGTATGTACGATCAGAGGGGTCCCAAAGGAAGGCACGCGAGTGCTACTTCAACTCGGTTGGCGAGGTGATGACGTCGGACGAGGGCCTACCGCACTCCACAAGGGAGTGGGTCCCAAAGCCGGAGCCGGCGTCCCGTACGACCCTAATCAGCCTCGACCGGAACGAAGTGCGCATAGGAAAGGACCTCCCGCAGGACTTGAGGGACGGGCTGGACCAGCTCCTCAGAGAAAATGAGGACTTGTTCGCAAATGAGCTGGGGGAGCTGAGCGGGGTGTCTCGGGCGTTGGCAGAGCACAAGATCGCGGTGGCCTCGGGCACCCGCCCCGTCAGACAGAAGCTGCATCCGCTAAGGGCAGAAAAAAGAGACGCGGCAGAAACGGAAGTCAAGAAACTCCTTTGAGCGAGTTTCATCCGCCCAGTGCGTTACCCCGCGTGGCTGTCCAATGTGGTCATGGTGAGAAAGGCGGACGTGGGGTGGAGGATGTGTGTCGACTTCACAAACCTCAACAAAACATGCCTCAAGGATAGCTACCTGCTACTGTCGGTAGACCGGCTGGTGGACCAGAGCTCCAGGTGCGAACTGTTGAATTTCATGGACGCGCACTCAGGGTACAACCAAGTGCCCATGGCAAGGGAAGACGAGGAGAAGACGTCATTCATCACAGAAATGGGCACGTTCTGCTTCAAAGTAATGCCGTTCGGCCTGCGAAACGTCGGGGCTACCTTCTAGAGGCTAATGGACAAGGTATTCGGGGCGCAGATAGGCAGGAACGCGGAGGTGTACGTAGGAAACCAGGATGCACCTAGCCGACCTGGCAGGGCTAAAGTTGAAGGCAAAGAAGTGCGCGTTCGGGGTCAAGGAGGGGCATTTCCTGAGTTTCCGGATCATGCCCGAGGGGATCAAGCCAAGAGAGAAAAAGGTTGAAGCCGTCATGGCCATGAACCCACCGCGAACGATAAAGGAAGTCCAAAAGCTGAACGGCAAGGTGGCGGCGCTGAGCAGGTTCCTGCCAAGAACGGCGGACCGCCTGCGCCCGTCACTACAAGAAATAAGACCTTGTATGGCGGTCTTTAGATGGCGGATTTCCGCCATCTAAAGTGATCGTCGGCGGAAATCCGCCATCTAAAGACCGCCATCTTGGACACCGTCATTAAAACCCCATAACCGCCATCTAAAGACCGCCATCTATTATCCATTCCCATTTCCCACCAAAAATTGTATAGATGGAGGATTTCCGCCATCTAATCTGAAAATTTTTCGGGAACTGAAAATTTTTAGATGGCGGAAATCCGCCATCTAAAATATGGCGGGGAAAATGTTTGGCGCCAATTCATTGATGGCGGTTAATTTTATTGATGGCGGATGTCCGCCGACTATCCTTGTAACATTAGATGGCGGAAATCCGCCATCTAAAGTATAGCAGGCGGTTCCCCATTTTTATAGATGGCGGATATCCGCCATCTATTCGTGGGAGAGGGCGATTGTGCCCATATTTAGATGGCGGATTTCCGCCATCTAAACCTTAGTATAATAGTATAGATGGCGAAAATCCGTCATACAATGTTTGTTTCATTTTTTTTTTTAAACAGAATTCTATATTTTGCGTTCGAATCGTTGTTTTTTGAAATAGAAATCGATATTTGAGAAAACTATTTTGAAATTGAAATTGAAATTGATGTTTTTTATTAAAAAAAAATTAAATTATAGAATCGTTAAACATTCGAAGTTTGAATAAGAAAAAAAAAATCGTTTAATCAACACTCGTCTGAAAGCGAGTCTTCTGAATCAGAATCAGAAATATCTGATCCGAATGCAGACGGTATAGTGGAGTTTGAAGTAGAAGCCATCTGCGTCATGTCGAGTCCAGAAGTCTTCAAAGTCTTATTCAGTTTCTTCATATATGATTTCATAGCATTGAACTTCTTCTTGTATTTGGAGACGTCTTTTTGACTCTTGTTACACTTGTTTTGAAAATGAAAACAAAAATGAGTTCGATAATCAACAAAATTATTGAAATATATTGTAAATACCTCCAATTCTTTGAATTTTTCCGACCAAACTGTATCTGGTGTTGCATCAGTAAGTCGTGTTTTCGGAGACCGGCTCTTTTCCTTTCCAATTTGGAGAAGCCCATCTTTCGTTCGT